GTAAGAGCTCTTAATATAGTATGGACTGAATTTCTTAATATAGCACAGACAGTGTTTATTTCTGAACATAGCCTCCTAAAGTGTGGCTTCCATTTTTGTTTTCAAAGAAAACAGTTGAAGTGTCCAATTTTATTACCTCTTTATTCCGTGGGTCATGTGTTTGCGTGTTCTAATAAACCCTTCCTATTCAAAGGTCACAAAGATTTTCTACTGTGCTTTTTGTTTTGTACTTTTGGGTTTTACATTTAGGCCTGTGCTCTATTTTGAGTTAATTGTTCTGTTTGGTAAGGGATAAAGGTACATCATTGTTTGCCACACAGGTAACCTCTCCTGGTGATCCAGCACCATTTGTTGAAGACTTTTCTTTCGCTATTAAAATTTTCTCGGTACCCCTGGCAGAAATTCAACTGATTATATTTGTGTGGGTTTAATTCACCTGCATGTCTGTTATTGCACTGAAACCAAAGTGTCTTAATTACTGTAACTTTATAGCAACTATTGTTTTACATTTAAAAAATTGCTTTGATTCTGTGTATTTTTGAGTTTCTATATACATTTTAGAATTAGATGTCAATTTCTACAAATAAACCTATAGTAGTTTGAAAGATTGCATTGATTCTAGAGACAAAATTGATGATAATTGTTATCCAAAATATATTTAGTCTTCCAAACAGTGAATGAACATGGTGATTCTGCTGTTGTGAAAATACTTTTAAATTTGTCTCAAGGATATTTTGTAGTTTTCATTGTGCAGTTCTAGCAACTATTTTCTTAGATCTATTCATAAGGATATTCCTTTTATTTTTACTGTAAACGGAATTGTATTAATGATTTAATTTTCCAGTTAGCATAAAAGAATACAGCTGATTTTTAAATATTAACCTGGGTCCTGTGACTCTGTTTAATTCACTTATTAGATCTCATAATTATTTTGTAGACTATATTTTTTACATGAATAAACATACCATCTGCAAATAATAGTCCTTCATCTAATACTTATCCTTTTATTTCTTTTACTTAACTTCAATGGCTGGGTCCTCCGATACCATGTTGAATAGAAGCAAAAGCAGGCTTTCTTGCCCTGTTCTCAATATTAAAGACAAATAACTGTCTTTACTTAAGTATGATACTAGCAGTAGGATCTTCCTAGTTGCTTGTTGTCAGTTTGAAGCAGTTTCCTACTATTTTATTTAGCTATTTTATTTGCTGGTTTTGATAATGAATAGTTGGTGAATTTTGTCCCATACTTGATCTACATCTTTTGAAAAAAGCATATGATTTTTATCCTTTATTATGTTAGTATAGGAATTTGCACTGATTGATTTTCTAATGTTGAACCAACCTTGCATTCCTGAGATAAACATTAATTGGTCATGATCTTTTATCTTTATTATTTATTATTTGATTTCATTTGTTAATATTTACACCTTTTTTCAAGAGAAATATTTGCCTGTAATTTTTGTAATCTATTTGCTATTTTGGGGGGATATACTTATGTTAGCATCATAAAATCAGTTTGGCATTATTGTCCCCTACTTTATTTTCCAAAGGAGTTTTTGTAAGGTTGATATTATTTTTTCTTTCAATACTTGATGGAATTAATCAGGGAAGCAATCTGTCCCATTGATCTATGTATTCATTTTTCTTTTATTGTAGCTAGTGAATGCTAAAATTCACTAAAATTCTCCCTTTTTTCTTAGAAAGCTGTTTTAGCTATTCTAGTTCCTTTGCTTTTCCATATAACATTTTGAATCAGGTTGTCTGATTCAAAACCAACAACAATAAAAATATCTTTATGGGATTTTGATAGCAATTGTATTAAACATATACATTTAGGATAATGGGGAGTTTTGATACCTTTACAATATTGACTCTTCCAAATCCATAAATGTAGTATGTCCATTTGTTTAGGTTATCTGATTTCTTTAATCAGTGGTGTATAGTTATCATTGACCATTCTTATATACAGTCACGTGTCACTTAATGACGAGGATGTGTTCTCAGAAATGTGTCGTTTGGCAATTTTGTCGTGGTGCAAACATCATAGAGTGTGCTTCCACACACCTGGGTGGTGCGGCGCACTTCACACACAGGCTGTGTGGTGTAGCCTGGTGCTCCTGGGCTGGAGACCTGCTCACCATGTTACCGTATTAACACTGTAGGCAGCTGTAACACAATGGTAAGCATTTGTGCGTGTGAACATAGCGAACCAGAGAAAAGCTACGGTGAAGATGTGGTATAAAAGGTAACGTGTGTGTGCCCGCTTGTGTTTGGAGGGCGCCGGGTGGGCTGTGGAGGGCGGTGTCCTGAGAAGGGGAGGGGACAGCAGGAGGAGAGGGGGAGGGGAGGAAGGGGGAGAGCAGAGCTAGAACGAGACCCAGAGGGGTAAAGCCTGAGACGAGAAAGAAGAAGAGGAGGCCAGGGGCAGGGCGAAGGGGAGCGAGGGCGAGGACGACTGGGAGGAAGCAGGGGGAGAAAGGCAGGGAGGGCGTGGGCCGTGTGCACGCGTGGGCGCGGGTGCGGGTGCGTGTGCGTTGCGGGGCAGCGGCCCGGGCTCCGGCTCCTCTCTGGCTCCCTCACCAGCTCCGGGCCCGGCCACGGTGGGCTCAGGGCGGCCGGTAGGTAGACAGCGTGCTGAGCCTTGCATCTCTCTAAACCACCCAGAGCTAGCAGCGAATTCAGCATTGGAGTCAGGCCCAGCCTTTGCTTTCAGCATCACAAACGTTCTGTTATAATCCATTATAACCCTATGGAGCCGCCGTCGTGCGTGCCCTTGGTCCTTGCCTGAAGCACGGTTATGTGGCACACGACTGTGTGTCTGTTAGATCCGGAGTGAGTTGTTTCATTTTGGGGGGAGCTGCGATAAGTGGTATTATGGATTCACTTTTGGATTCCAGTATTCATTGCTAGTATTTAAAAAAATGATCATTTGTGTTCATTGGCTTTGCCTCCTGATACGTTGCAAAACTCAATTCCACTTAAAAGACAACAAAATATGTGTTTTAGGGTATGTCCTAGGAGTGCAGCAGTCTTACCTGTAGCACCTGTCACTCCATGGTACTGGACTGGTATCACTCTGCAGCATTACACATACTGTGGTGTGAAGGTTTGTTGATTCTCAGGATAGTTACTAGCAGATCATATGAGTTTAGATGATTTATGCCAGTATCCATTCTCTTGGTGACACTCAATAATTAAAAGTATTTGTGTAAAACACTGCGTGCAGATTTCCCCTCTCTGTGTGTCATGATTTAACACTGTCAGCACCTTTGCCCTGCATTTCCATATTTGTGTTTCAAGAAATGCTAATATGTGTTTTGAGGGAATATGTACCATGATTACACACACTTAGGGAACATTCTTTTCCATCAGTATTTTACCACATACACCCTTGTTATTATTGCAGCAGGTAAATCTAATTAACTCTGCATAACCAGTACTTTTTCTATCTGAAATATTATTCCCCAAATAAAATGTCTGTTAAAACTTGAGGAGCTCCGTGGAACCTAGAATGGAAAATACTTTTCTCTGAGTAACAGCTAAAATATTTTCCAATTTGAAAAAATGTACTTAAAAAGAACGATATGAACTTTAATATAATGCCACCCAGATCCAAACAGTGACATGAAATATGGAATCATGATGCAGGAAAAGGCTCTTGTGCTCGATAACCGTGCCTGTGGTGTGTCGCCAGCATCTGTGTGAATCCTCGGCTGACTACATTCGCAGCAGCAAAAGGGGGAACAGGATAATCAGAAACCCCAGCCCAGTTAGAGGGCCCTGACCCCAATGCGAGGAGTGGGTCCCAATGCACAGGGGTAAGCATTTCTCTAGTGCCCGTGACACCTGGATTGTTTTCGTCTGAGTCCTTCCCGTCCTCACAGAAGAAATAGCATGGCCTGCTTGTGACGGCGCCTGTTGTACAAGTGAGGCAACTAGAACTGAGAGAACTGACTGCTTTACCCAGGACCCCCGAGTTTGTCAGTGACAGAATGTGTTATACTTGACCTTGGTTTCTTTCTATCCTTCTTTACTTTCTGTTAACATTAATTTTTGATATACATTATCTTTATGTTAGGGATGGTCAGATTGAGTTCAGTTAGGCTAACTAACTTTTCCAAAATTACATTTATCAACTCTTAGAAGTAGGGCTTGAAATTAGGATATTAGTAGAAATAAGCTGAAACTCCTCCCCATCTTTGGGCTTTTTATGCTTCTCAGCCATGGTCCTTACAGGCAGCATGACAGCCGTATTTGGCTCTCACTATGGCAGCGGTTCTCAACCTTCCTAATGCCGTGACCCCTTAATACAGTTCCTCATGTTGTGGTGACCCCAACCATAAAATTATTTTCATTGCTACCCTGTAACTGTAATTTTGCTACTGTTATGAATCGTAAATATCTTTTTGTTTTCTGATGGTCTTAGGTGACCCCTGTGAAAGGGTCATTTGACCCCCCCCAAAGGGGTCGCGACCCCCAGGTTGAGAACCACTGCACTGTGGCCTTGACCTCTGGTTTCTGCTGTCACTTAGTGGATGGCCCATTCAACCTTTGAAACTCAGCGCTATGTGATCAGTAAACTAGTTTAGGTCATAGTGTTGTTCTAAACCAGGATCAGAGTGAGAAGTTAAAGCTTTTCACTTATAAGAGGTATTTAGAGAAGTCAGATTTCATAGAAACAAGTAGTAGAGTGGTGGCTGCCAGGATTGGGGACTGGACTGGGGAGCTGTTGGATGGGTATAGAGGTGCGACTTCCCCCACATGAGAAGACCTGGACATTAGCTGTACACCAGCGTGACCGTACTTAACCTTACTGCACTGTACGCTCAACAGTGGTGAAGATGGTGAATTGTATGTTATGTGTATTTTACCACAGTTAAAATCAAACAAACAAAAGTTTTAAAGAAACTAGAATGTTCTTTGCAACTGTATCCTCTGTGTAAAGTAAGTGCGCGGCGCTGGAGGCAACTGCTGCTTATTCACTTGCTCTCTCCCCACAGTGATCTGCAGTCCTGGCTCCTACAACCCCCGCGACGGGACTCACTGCCTTCAGTGCAACAGCAGCCTGGCCTACGGGGCGAAGGTGTGCGGGTAGGCCGTCGCCGGGCTCTCGGTGGTTTATTAGACACGAAGGACGTGTGGAAACATGAATGTATAATAAATCACTATTATGCCAAAATTAAATGTATCAGATTTTACCAAAAAAAGTGTCATCATTTTAATTGAAACACTGTGTGTCCAAATGCTTTCTTTCTTTCTTTCTTTCTTCTTTTTAATTGGGGAATTGGGGGAAGGGGAACAGACAAGTTGCTGTCGTTTTGTTCTTCAGTCTAGTTGTGGAGGACGTTGCTTCACTGGCCCACGTTGGCACCATCATTGCGCTCTTCCCGGGCGAGGCAGATCAGTCGCCAGCTTCTGGACGGCTGCTCACGGCAGCTGCTGGCCGCTCGCGCTGGCTGCTGGCTACACACAGTAGCCCATGGCCACCCACTGCCACAGGGGCTGCAGCCTACGCCGTCGCAGGCGACTCACGGCAGCCCAGCTCCATGTTGAGCTGTTGTTCAGCATCTTAGCTGTAGAGGGCAATGTCACTGGCCCTCATATGTGGGATCCGAACCGGGGCCCTCTGGTGTCCCAAGCCAGTTCTTAACCAGTGTGCCACTCGGCTGGCCCTCCAAATGCTTTATGAAGGGAACCTCCAGTAGTCCTAATTCATTAATGCCAGACCTATAGGTGACCCCTAAGTATTTCTTGTATTACTGCTTTTCAAAAGTAGTTGTAAATACACTATCGGGTTAGCCCAAAAGGTTTTTCAGGATTTTCCGAAAAAGATCGCCATGCTGGCTTCACTGTATGCTGAATAATCTCAGGCCATCGTATTCTTCAACATTCATTTTCATTTCAGCTTGTCTCATTCCTTTGATTTAATTTTATGGGATTTTATTTCTTTAATTTGACCTTTCGTAGTGCAAAGTCACTTTTTGGAAAGCCTGCGACTCTTCTGATTACAGTTTGAGCCACTTTCATGTGAGGCCCGGTCCCAGCAGCACCATGGGTTTTTAATAATGTGGGTATCTTAAACGTCTCATTTTGAAGTCCTTTAAATTGTCTTTTTGACCATTTAGAATGGAATGGTCATCGTATGTGTCTAAATGAGCATTTGAACTTGCACAATATGGAGAGAGAGAGAAACTAAGCAATTTCTTTCCCCGAGAAGATCTCAGGGAAGAGAGCCAGCCGGCACCACTTTGATTTCGTCTTCATCACTATAAAGTATTACGTGATAGATACTGGTGCCACCCCCACTCACATACACCCTCTGTCACACTAGGCTGCTATGTATGAATATGAAAGATTACCAATGATTTAAACATTTAACTACCAGGAAAGTACATGAGTAACTTACAAAACCAGTGGTTTCTCAGTTTTTTAATTATTGTTCTATTTATATTTGTATCCACTTGATACTCTTGGACACTTCCACTTTTCCCTTCAGATTCCCTTTCTTAAGACAAACATGTTGGATCTGGGCACGACTGTGAAACACAGTGACAGGAAAAAGGTCACTTGTACCCAGGCTCTGACTGGCGTCTTTTAATTGACCAGTTAATACGCAGCCTCTCATTATGTCATTCCATGGAGCATTTCTGGGATTCTCCCACAAATACAAATTGAAGAGAAGTGACATTTGTTTGTTAGGCCTCATGATGTTTCTTTAAAAAACCCGTTGGACTTTCAGGATCATGATATCATCGTTTTCATGTGTTTTGGAGGTTTATCAGGAGCCGTCTTCCCCCGTATGTAACACATTGCGTGGCCTCTTGTTCCCCGAGCACGCGTTTTCTGTAACCAGGAAAAGACCGACTCAGCGTTCACCTCTAAAAGCAGTGCAGCCTCCTAAATTCCCCAATGTCCCGACTGTAATAAGACCGACTGAAATGCTACCCTCCTCGTTGCCTCCCTAAGTTTGGATGGTGTGTTTCCAGTTTGAAGCTGCTGAGGAATGTAGCTTCCGATGTATATTTCTGAGGCCATGAGGACTGTCAGGTGAGCATCCAGCCAGCCTGGGAGAACAGAGCCGAGCTGCCATGGTGGCGTCGGTGCTGGAGGTCGGAACCCAGTCAGGGAGAGAGGACACCTGGGATAGGAGGAGAGAAACAGCAGCGTGACCAGAGCAAGGTCTGAGAGATAAACTTAAACTCTAATCCGATGGCGGGCTGAATTACTGAGCAGCTTGAACCCCCAACCAGGTGCGTTTCCAACGTCAGAGGTGAGGCCTTGATGGGAGAGAGTGGGACCCTCACAGCGGAGGTGAGGACGTGATGCCAACTAAGCGCCTTCAATCCAGCGCCCCGCTGGCTTCTGTTGCCAAGAGAAGCCGCCTCCCTCCCGGAGGACCTCGCCTCCCGTCGCCCGAAGAACCCACAGTGGTCTTCCTGAAACAGCTGCCTCGCCTTCTCCCATCTTCGCCATTGTTCATTGCTTCTGAACTTGAATCCTGGCAGCTTCTGGTGTTTAGGTGCCAAGTGTCACCTACCGTGCAGATCAAGAGACTTGCAGTAGCTTGCCGGTTTCCACCAAGCGCTCCCTGGGGCACCCATGCTTGTCAGATGCGCCATGTGGGGACCCGCCATGAGCTGTGTGCTGTACGAGCCGTTGCATTTAGAACCTGTGACAGCCTGGAAACCACAGAAGATGTTAAAGGCGGGAGCATGGCTACCCTACATTCTGTAAGACCCGTTGTCAGCGGGCCAGAGCTGACCCCCCTGCTGGCACTGAAGAGCGAACACGTAGTGAGGGGGCCTGTGAGAGGACCTAGTGGCAGGGCCCCACAAACGCTCAGGACTTGCAGGGGACCCTGAGACCTGACAGGAGCCCCAGCTGTCAGTGGGCCAGAAAGTGGGGCCCCACCTCTACAGCTGCCCGGGGTTGAATTCTAACAACCGATGAGCTTAGAAAGAAGACGGCCTACTCCAGGAAGGACCCCGCCCAGCCCGCAGCTCACCTGGGCCCTGGGCCCCTCGCCGCCCCGCTAAGCTCCTCCCAGACTCTCCCCACAGGAGCCGAGTCGGCAGCGGGGCTGTCTTAGGCCGTAAGTGTGTGGTCTGTGTTCCACGTGGGAGCAGGCCCCGAGAGGACTCAGAGCGGAAGGAA